CCTTGTTTGGTCTTTTACTGGTTCTCCAGCTATCAGACTGGAGTCCATGAACTTCTGTTTTCTTAGGTCAGCTGTTTCTGTGGATTTTCCCATCATTGTTTTTACCCCTTTGCTCATCACTGCTTCCTCTCTACAACTGGTTTCCAGGAGTTTGGCTCAATGCTTGGCTGTGATTCTCTGTTTCTGCTTCTATCAGCTGCTGGATGAATATGTATACAGTGTTCTGCCTGCAGACCAGAAGAGGGCTCCAGATAGCATAACAGATGGTTGTGAGCCACCATGTGGTTGCTGGGAATTGAACTCAGGGCCTCTGGGACAGCAGCTAGTGCTCTTAATCTCTGGGCCATCTCTCCAGGCCCAAAGATTGTCTCTTTACATGTAGATTTTGGAATCAAAGTCTCAAGGTAAGACAAGCCATATTTTCACCCCAGCTAGAGTGGTTGGTTTTACCAGTATTCCTATTGTAAGGCTGGCCAGGAACTCCAGCCTATGGATTATGAAAATGAGACAGCCCTATTGTCTAGGTTCATATAGACTGCTGCTAAATGCTAGTTTTGGAAGAATAAAACTCGGAAATCCCTATTCACAAGAAATACAAGGCTCTTCAAAGTGATCTCTTTGCAGCATCCCTGTGAACCATCTCAGAAAATAACCTGATCTGCATTTCCTAATGAAACACAGCTGCTCACTGAATCAAAATGTGAAGCCAGCTCCCAGAAGTCAGAGCTTTTGACTCCAGGATGAGTATTCACTCCATTTAGAGTAACTCAAGGGAAATGAGATAAAAGTCATAATTTTATCACCCCTTCCAGTATTATAATTGTCTTTACATTACTGACAGATTCCTTTTTGCAAAGAATTTCTATCTCTTCCTTCTAATTTGAGTAGTAAAGCTAAAATCAAAGACCAAAAACGATCTTCTTGAAGCCACAGCAAAGCCCAGGACTCTAGAGTCAAGTGGATACAGCACTGTCAGTAGGTAAGGATGTTCTTAAACTTTGTCCCACTTGCCTCCATTTTATAGATAAAATTCTTAGGATTGGAATGGTCAGTTCTTTGGGATGCTTAGATCAAGTTAAAGACAAGAAAAAGGAGACTGACGAGCGGCATACTCACAGATTATCGGAATGTTCTTTCTCCTCTATTACATCTTCAAATCGAGTGCCATTAATGCCTAGAATTAGTAACCTCAAGAGGCAACATGCACTAGATAGGGTTCTGCTCCCAAGGTACTGCATGATTATGTTGTGAGATATTTGCAGAGGGGTTTATTTTGGGCTGGGTGAAATTGGCATCTTTGTTTACAAGAATACCGTCTCACTGATCAAGCTAAAGTACATGCCTAATAACCAGCATTTCTTAGGCTTTTATGTTGCCCTTAATTAGACTCTTCAAAGTTAATTAGAGGAACAGAGGGTACTTTTTGTTCTTTTAAGCCCCCCCCCTTTAACAGATTCTTGCACATAAAGTGCTCTCACACTTGTGGGTAGTTCAGCTTCTGTTTTAAACTTACTGACTTAACTGTTCATTGGTTAGTTCATCCTTTGTTTTCATAGCACAATCTAGTTTATTATCCTAAGTGCCTTTGATGCTTAACCCCTTACAATTTACAACCACTATACAATTTATTTTTAGATGTAAATTTTTACATTAATCTTTAACATTTTGTTCAAGGACTAGCATTGGTAAAACTGAATTTTTGGAACACCAGTGTGTAGAGAATAGGATAGCATTGACAACAGACATTTTGAAAAAAAAAGTGTTTCCAGGCCTGTATGCCTCAGCAAGGGTAAGGGTTGGTGGTGTTGGATATAATACAATTTTCATTTGAATCAAGACAAAAATCACTGGCCTCATTTTGATACCTATTATGCTTCTAGGTAGTTTAATAATTTGTATTTATAAGAACAGTGAATACAGAAAATAGGAATGTAAAGTAAGAAGCTAATCCTAAGAGAGAGGGCTTTGCAGCCATGATGCCTGTCTGCTTTATGCCACTAATAGTAATAAGAGACCATTAGAAGGGAACAGAGTAGATGGGAAATAGGCTTTGCATTAGAGCCCGAGTCTGTCACTCTTCTGGCAACCCTGCCGAGAGCTACACATCAAAGCCACCACACTGTGCTAATAGTGTCACTTATCCCACAGCCTTTCCACTGTCCCATATGCAGTCACTTTGCAGGGGGTGTGCACATGAGGGTGAGAGGGGAGGTGGCGGCGTGCTAGAAGAAGCCGTAGGAGACAAACCCACTGTGATTTGTCACCTCTAATCCCTGCAATGGAAAACATTTAGGAAGAGCAAATAATTGAGGTTTTTCAGAAACAATCTTTTGAAAAAGCCCCTGATTTAATTAGAGATCTAAAAATAGGATAATAAAAATAATTTTTAAAAGTCATGAGAAAATCCTTACTATATTTATATAATTGGAGGGAAGAAATCACGCTTTAAAACAATTTCCTTTAGTTTTGATTATATGCCTGAACAAATGTGTGTGTGTGTGTGTGTGTGTGTATGTGTGTGTGTATGTGTGGTGAGAGAGAGAGAGAGAGAAAGAGAGAGACAGAGAGACAGACAAGAGAGAGAGAGAGAGAGAGAGAGAGAGAGAGCCTTTCATTATTTTTTAGATGGCAATTACAATCATGAATATCTACATAACAAGTTGATAAAACAAAACTGTTTCTATTAAACTGAAAGCAATCAGTGATAATGGACGTATATTCTACTTATTGCTGTCTTCCTTTCCTGCTAATACTCCTGTCATTGTATTTGTTTGTTGTTGGTGTTTTATATCTAGTAAGCACTGACTGATAATTCCTGACAGGTGGGAAAGCACATCCAGGCACCATGAGGCAACATGTCCTCTCTCACACTGCTCAGTATGACACAACTGTCTGTCTCTCCCAGTCCTTGGCTAGATACTGCAGCCTTGTGTCTAGGCCAATCTTCTCAGTATGTGTCTTAGGGTCTGAGATAGCTGAAAATACTCCTGGAGCTGTTCATAGACTTGGGGAGAAATTAGATGAAAAAACACAAATGGCTGAGTTGACCCTAGACATTCCAAGCATGAACGGTTAGTATAAGCAACACATCGGAAAATAAAATATAATCATTTCAAAGGAGATATTGCTAACTGGAAGATAATTTTAAAAAACCCCATGTCTATTCCTGTAAGTCACACCAAGACCCATTTGACTAAGTTTTAGCATTTAGAATACAGTCCTGGCCGGGCGATGGTGACACATGCCTTTAATCCCAGCACTCAGGAGGCAGAGGCAGGCAGATCTCGGTGAGTTCGAGGCCGGGCTAGACCAACAGCCTCCAAAGCAATACAGAGAAACCCTGTCTCTTAAAAACCAAAAAAAATACAGTCCTGTTCTACCTGGATGCCAAAACTGGAAACTTCAATTCACTGTGATAGAACCTTTAAGTGGTTAGAAAGAAATCATAGCAAAGACACCGCAAAGATGGCATTATCTGAAATCTGGAGAGTCTCTGCCTCCATCTTCTGCTGAATGTCAGCTCTGTGGCAGACCATGTCAGGCTGAGATTACACAGAGCAGTGGCATGCGACTCTTTCTTAGCAGACTGGGGCTAGGAAGCCATGAAAAGCAGAGAAGGGCTAAGGAGACTGATGGGTAGGAGAGCTCCTGCCACCAGCAGCATGAGGACATGGTGCAGATTACTAGAGCACACATATAATACCAGCTGTAGCTGGTATTATATGTGCTGTGTGCACATGCAACCGATAGTTCTCGGGGGGGGGGGTTAAAACAAGGGGATTCCTAAAAACCCATTGGCCAGCAAGCCTAACTGAACAGGTGAGCTTTGAGTTCTGCTAGAGAAACTGTCTGAAAATATTCATGTCACATGTCACTGAGTAAAGACGTCTGATGTCAATTTCTTAAGGGCTTGAGAGATGTCTCAGGTGTTGAGAGTGCTTGTTGTTGTTCCGTAGGACCTGAGTTTGATTACTGGCACTCACACCAGGCAGCCTCTAATGCTAGTGCCAAAGGATTTTACACCTTCTTTTCGCCTCTGTGAAGACATGCTCATTTACACATAAATACAAAACCAAATCTTGAAAGCCACCTGGTCTTCCCCTGTGACCTCCACACACATGGCCATCCTCATGCACACACACACACATACCCACACTAGCATGCACACGATAACATATACACAATGCTGGAGTTGTGTAGTTTTGATGCTTACATGTGGGAAGGCACTCTGCAAGTGAAGTAAATCTTATCACTTCCAGAAACCCGTTTTACATTTAGCCCTCTCGTGCTCCATTAACAGCAGCAAAGTCAAGCAATGCTGGAGCTTTACTGATTATTATTTGTGATTATTATTTGTGATTATTCTCTCTTCCTAATCACTTTCGAATTCAGCCACTAAGTACTCATTCTCTCTCTTTAGTGTCTCTTCATTTCCACTGTGTCTTGACTGTTGCTGCCTGTTCATTTACAAAGTCCTAATGTGTTCTTCCTTCTTCATCATCCTCAGAGAGTCCCACAGGCTAGAGAATGTTCATGTGTAGCCTCTCAGTGCATGACGATCAGGACCATCTTCTTGATTACTTTATGGAAACTGGATATCAGCTGATTTTACATTCTAGTCTGTCCAAGCTTCCAGGGACATCCCTGAAAGCACAAAGCAATGCTGGGCCATGCCCTTGTCCATCATCCCCGAGGCTTTCTTGGTGTGCTGTTTGTCCTCTACAAAGCCTCCCCCACCTTTTCCTCTAAAACTTTCTGTCTTCCTGTCTTCTCCTCTCCCACATGCCCCCTACGCTTCAGCCACAAGGCATGTCTCACTGGGTTCTGAATATGCCAGTCTTTGAAACTCTGTCTTGTCCCAGATGCTGTTTCTTTTCCTGGAGTGCCCTTCCTTCCTTTCTATGCACAGCAGACTCCCACTCGTGCAGCGGGACCTAGCTCAAATGCCATCTCTCCACTGAAACTCCCTCTAGTCCTGCAAAAGCCACATTCTCCCATTCATGGGCTCACTGGCCATTTGTGATGTCTGAGGGAGGAGGTTGTGAGCTCTGGGAAGGTTTTGGACCTTCTGGATTTTTTTATTTTCATCTTAAATCTAGAGTTCAGTATCTCATCTGGAGACATGATGGGTTTCGGCCCCTTCCTGTGTCTCTTCCTGTGGTCTCACTTCACCCAGTGCCTTTTTCTCTGAGCTTTAGTTTCTCTATTTAGGAAGGAGCTAGAAAACAAGGTGGGCATGGGGTAAAATCATGGGGAACTTCGGGAGAGCCTTTGTCTCTGCAAGGGAACCCCTTTATGCCAGCAAGGTATGTGACTAACACTATCACTAGATTTTTTGCTGTATTTTAGAGTATTGTCCAGAGAGAATTTGGAGGCTTTATTTTAAACTGAAACCATTCTAATATTAAGCCTAGGTAGAAAAAAATGTATCTTTCTTTGACATAGAGCAATTCCTTAAATATATATCCCTGAATATACATAGTTATATTCATTAGTTGGCCAAAGTTCAGCCTTGAAAACATGCATACAAGTACTATTATATTGGTTAAATTGTATTTATCATTTAGAAATATGTATGTTTATATACCTATACATGTATGTATGTATATACGTGATGGGGAAGTCCTTCTGTGTATGTTTGTCTTATTGGTTGATAAATAACGCACTGTTGGAAAATAGGGAAACAAGATAGGTGGGACTAGGAGTCATTGGGGATTCTAGAAAGCATAGTAAATGGTAGGGTGTTGCCATGTGATCCCAGGAAGAAAGGACACATGAGGCTGGTGTCCTTGGTAAGGTAAGACTTTATAGAAATATATACATATTAGTAGTTATGGGTAATACTTAAGAAAGAACTAGTCAATGAGAAGCCCTGGACATTGGTCGACAGCATTGTAACTAATAGAGTCTCTGTGTTATTTGGGGTTGATGCAGTTCTGTGGCCAGGCTGGTTGGAAGAATGCTCGTTACATATGCCTATGTATGAAATGAATAAAAAATGTGGCCATGATTTTTAAGGAGAGCAAAGGCAAATATATGCGAGGATTTGGAGAGAGGAAATGGAAAGGCAAAATGATTTAATTATATAATAATCTCAAAAAGTAAAAGAAATAATAAAAGAAGAATTATATTTAAGTCAGGCATTGGTGGCACACGCCTTTAATCCCAGCACTCTGGAGTTTAAGGCCAGCCTGGTCTACAGAGCAAGAGCCAGGATAGGCTCCAAAGCTACACAGAGAAACCCTGTCTCGAAAAACAAACAAAAAATGTATTTATAATAGCAGCTGTGAAAAGAGTAGAGTGTGTAGATCACCCATTAGAAAAAGAAAGATGCCTTGAAACAGCCTTGGGATGAATGGTTGCTCTTCAGGTAATAAAGGAGCAGCATGTGCTTTGTGGATGTAAATGTGCAAGATGCAGCCAATGAGTCCAAAGCAGAGCCTTTCTCGCAAATGCTACCATCTATGTGGCAGCCATGGTGCCTCTTTGTGATTATTCAGCCACCTCTGAGTACAAAAGGAGAAAAAGGTGAAAGAGGTTAACAGTAAACATCTGCAGCAGATAGACTCCTTCACCTGATTTCTTATCAGTAGCTTAGTCCCCAGGGTACCACAGTAAAGTGTAGAGTCATTAACTGTTTTTCAGAGAGGAGGCAATTATGATCTAGCAGGTATCATTAACTTTTCCCCAAGACCTAAATATTTGTAATTGGATGAGTCAAAAGTTAGTCTCAGGCGAAAGGCCATTTCTTTTCATTAGACTCGATGGCCATAAGATTATTAATATGAATTTGCTTTGAGTAGTGTCACTTCTCTGGTCCTCATGGTTTTGGTTATGTAGAGAGAAGTATTAATGACATGTTGATAGAAATGCCCTAGTCTTCCAGGAAATAATAATTTGTATGAATTCTACTTCTCACTACCATGCCAAAACCTGTGAAGAGCTATAGAAGAAATAAATCCATCCATCCACATATGTGTATGAATATCTAACTTTGGGAATGTTTTAGTCCAGCTATTAAACTGATCCAGACCTCCTGAATGTGGGTGTCAGTGAGGAGGTCTAGGTAATCTATGGGGCCTTGGATAGTATTTATCCCTGGCATACAAATAGACTTTGAGAGCCCATTCCACAATAAGAGATGTTCTCTCTGTCTGGACTCTTGAAGGAGTCCTGGATGACATGACAGACTCTGGAGACCCACCACGGAGGGCCTCACCCTCCCTGGGGATCAGAGTGGATATTGGTTAGGGGACTGAGGGGCCTGATGGGGAAGGATGGGGAGGAGGGGAGGGAGAGGGAGCTGGGATTGACATGGGAAACAAATTTGTTTGTAACTTAAATAAAAAAAGGGGGGTAGAGGAAAAAAACGATTAGTCAACTGGGGATGGACACCTCATAATTAGTTGTTCTTTTCAACTTGATCTACTGTGGTGTTCTGTGATGGTCTCTACTTGCTGCAAACAGCAGCCTCTATGATGAGTGGGCAAGTTATACTTGTCTACAAGTATAAAGATACGTATTTAGAATATTGTTAGAGTCATATTGGCTTAGGAAAGTAACAATAGTAGATTCTTCTCTAGGTTCCATGACCTCAACAGCATATGTATTTGTCTGGGTTTACAGTATTACACATGAATTCCCTCCTTTTATGCTGGCTTTAGTTCAATTAGATGTCTGTTGGTTACAGCCAAAACTCAAATGCCAGCACTGCACATTTGAAAATATGGACTATGGACATACCTTGCCTTTCTTCCTTTCTTCCTTCATTTCTCCCTTCCTTTCTTCCTTCCTCCCCCTTTCTTCTTTTTCTAAACTTTCTCTGACATAAGTTTTTGAAGTGGTTCTGGGATCCAGTGGCTCATTAAATAATGTAAAAATGAGTGTATACTAACTTGGCATACTGAGGCAGAATGTCGTGGATTGGGTAACAATAACTATATATTTTCCATAGTTCTGCATACTGTCTAGGAGTTGGTAGATTTGGTTCTTGATTAGGGCTATCCTTCAGGGTTTCAGAAAGCTGCAGTTTTGCTAAATCCTAAAATTGTAGAGAGGAGGCATCTGGTTGCTCTTCTTCCTTTTATAAAATCACTAAGCTATGTGGACTCTGGTCTCATGGACTCATTTAAGCCTAATTATCTTCCAAGTATTATCTCTAAACACCATTGCATTGGGGACAGGTTCTTCAGTTTCTGATGTTGGAGAGGCAATCATTTTGTGAGTAACAGAGGTCCTGTCCACCCTCACAATCAGAGAACGAGTCTCCTGTTACAATCAAATGATCATGTTAACTTTCTTCTCACTGGATGAAAGTGCCTCACATAAATAACTCAAATGGGGAGGACCTACTGGGACTTATGGTGTCAGAAAGTTCAGTTTGTGATGATTGCATGGTTCAGTTATAATTGTGTGGTCCCGTTATTTGTTTTCTTTCAATTTGTCCTTCCTCTCCAAACTATTAATATAAATTGTATTTTTCATGAAGAAAATAGCCAACAGTCTCATCAGTACAGTGCCATTGAAGAAGAATTATTGATATTTGCATCTACTTAACAGTTTTTAATAGCTGGACTACAACATTTACCTTGTTTTAAAAATTGTGAGTTCAATATAGTCTTATTGTCAATGTAATGATGTTAAGGTCCAGAAGGTTAAATATCTTTCCATTTGTCAGTTTGTCTTATAAGATCACTGGAATTAAGTTCTCTTGGTTTCAGGAATTTATGTTGCCCAGACATTATTGCCATGTTTTGTTTTCCTTCAAACGTTTTTCTTCTCAAAATTAGACTTCCACTCCAACTAGGAATCATGGAATTAATTGTGAGTTTCAGGTGCACGTACCTGGATACATCAGATTGGAACACATTTATGTTTGCTTTGAAATTAAAATGGGAATACTCCAATGAACCAAAACACACTTGAATATTCTTTTCTATTTTCTTCTTTCGTTGGGAGTAAACCTCTATATCTGATGAGTTAAGAGTGGATCTAAAATAGCTTTACATTCTCTGAAGAAGCATCTTAATTATAAAAATACAATATAGATAATTAAATGCATTTGGCCATGTTTTTCATGGTCTTAAAATGGGATACACAATATACACACAAATACGTTTGCACTTATATTTTAGTACATGTGTTCTTATGTGTGTATAGTAAAATAGAAATATGTGTGTGTGTGTGTGTGTGTGTACTTTAGATATAAAGGTATCATGGACCATGTACGCATCAATTTAACTCCAACTTTATAGAATAATTGAAATAAAAGGTGAAAGAATTACACATTCATGTAACTATATTTAATTTGGGTATGTTAATTATTGGTACACAGGAATGAACTATTTTAACTAAGATACATTTCATATGTTCCTTTATATCTTATACCCAAATTTAGTACCTCATGATTGAATCAAGATTGTAAAATACTTTTGAAATGATAAAAAGTAGTTACTCTGGAGCAAGGATTTAAGAAAAAGCATCACATTTTAGAATTAATTGTTCATAAAATTTCAATATAGCAAGTGTTTGGTGCCTGACAGATTGGATGACTATCGCAGAAGACTCTTGCACACAGATAACTCTGTACTAGGAGGGGATGAATGCAAAGGTATTCAATTAACTTTGTTTTTTCATTTTTGTTGGCCTCTTCCTCATGTCTGTCTTATTTATTGCATTCTACCTTTGGCCTTCTTTATGCCTGTCTAGAGGTCCTTCCTGAAGAAAGTGTGCAGTATTTAAACCCTTGCATTCTTCCGGGGTGCATTCACGATACAGATCCTAGAGAAAACTACTGTCTTCACTTTAATACTACACTGTTTTTAATCTCATAGCCCTTTACTTTTTCATTGCATCTACATTTTAAAAATATATTGGCTTGTTCACTTGTTTGTAATCTGTTTTTTCAGTTGTCTAAAATCCATGATTATGGATACCTTGTTTGTGTCTCTGCTTATTTCTGAGGCAGAGACATGTGCCTGTACTAAGGGTTCCAACAATGGCTTCTGAAAAAGTGGCTGATTTCCTGAGGAGAGCAATCCTTCTGCCCTCTGAGGGCAGCTGTCACGAGCTGGGGCACGTGCCTTTGATGTCCTTCTAGATCTCAGCTGGGGTAGCTAATTTTTTCTAAAACTTCTTTTTTCTTCAAAGAAGTTGAATTTGAAGAATTCTGTAACTTTGGATTCAGTTTTTTACTATCAAATTAAAGCTAAAAATGCTGCCAGGAAGGAGGGTAGCCAGATTGGAGGGGGAGGAGGCGAGAGGTAGAAGAAGGGGAAGCAGAGAGTTGGGGGAGGAGATGGCGGAA